AGGAGATTGGGTAGAGAGAAAACAGCTATAGTGAAACAGTGAGTACCTTTTTTCTAATTAAGAAATCTCACAAAAAAATGCAGAATTCGAAATAGACTCCTATAAGAGAGTTGAAATTTAGATTAAGCAATATAGGCTAGCAATAATAGGAGACCCAAAAAACGTTTCGAATTTCCAATCTTAAAATAAAGACTCTCAACTTAAAGAGCCCTCAACTTATTCCATAATAAAGCTTCCGCACTGTTTCTGAATTACAGAATGCTTCAAGGAAAATAGCGCAAATCGAAATTTCGTAGAAATAAACATTTAGAAAGCTATGTCAATGACGGATGAAAGAAAGGGTGCTAACGTCCCTTAGCTTGATCAACTCTCATTTGTTCCCTTTCTTAATATGGGGAGTAAGGAGGGTAAAGCAGAAATGGGTGGCAGAAAACAATGGAATGGCGGCTATTTTTATTCTCCCTTTTGCTCAAAAACAGATTATGAGGGCGTTGTTGGCCCTTCTCTGCCGATTCTCCATGTGTATCTGCTATATTGACGACTAGAAGTCAACAATCAAGCGAGATCTTAATGGTGAGAGATTAATGTTTTGATCATAGAAACGGTAATATCTAGAAGTCGTCGGAAACCCTACTGCAAGGGAGGATTTATTTAGTTGTGTTCAATATTCTAATGAGCACTGCGCTTTGTTTCATAACCCAGAAGTTTAGTTTAGAAAATCATGATGAATAATGGGAAACGTATTTTCACTTCTTTGCGATGATTGATTTTCAAGAAGTAGGGAAACTCTCTACTCAAAGCATTGCTTTGAAGCGAATAAGTCAAAATTTAGCCAGCTAGCTTAAAGAGTTACATTTATAGTTTTCTTTTCTGCGTAACTTTTCCTTAAATTATACACATCTTGTAAAAGTCTCCATAGATTTAAGCTTATTTTGTTTGTTTTGGTCGTTTTTGCAATGTCCATACTCTATAACTGTAAGCATGACTCATTGTAAGTCACAAGAAGATAGAAAGATTGCTATTCCAAAATTTAGCACTCTTAACTTTTCTCCTCGAATGCAGCATACAAATTGAAAGCATTGAAGATAAATTTTGTTGGGTTTTCAATGCAGTGTTACAGCATTCTTAGAAAAGTAGGTTATTGCGATTGAATTCAATTTGAAAAAACTCACCTTCGGGTGAGTATACAGCGTGATTGGATGCGAAAAAAAAAAATTAGACGTGGATTGAGGTATTCAAGTTATATATCTTTTATATAATGCATATTTCAAGTACCGTAAAAGCTCTAGATCCGTAATGCGAGAAAATTCCGATAATTGCAAACGATCACAATTAACTTTGCAAATTTGTTTCGACGAAACTTTCAAAGTATGACATTATTATGATTCTGTTATATAACTGAAACTAGCAGGAACAATACCAGTATCACAATATCAGTTCAAACAGATGCTAAGGAATTGCAGAATTATCGATGAACGTCTTCAAAAAATGCGTTTCCTCAATGAGTCATTCGTTCACTGAATGATTCTGTGCATTATAACTGCTTTGCCATTATAAGTAGCTAGCCTAGGTAAAGTCTCCAAAATTGGACAGTATAAGTCAGCGAAGTCGCATGCAACGAAGAATTTATTTGGAAATTCTTGTTCAAAATTACAGCATAAATGCATAGTATTCTCGTATAGTGTATCTATCGGCCCCAAAGATGATGGCAAAGCTGCCAAATTGAGCAGTGCAGATCAAGACACGAGAAGCAGAAGAACTTGGCAGGTCATTCTGTACATTGCCTTATATGCATGTTATGAATCTCATCATCTGTCGTTAGAAGAAACCTTTCGTCAAATCCTTCAACAAAAAACTTTGGCGAACTTGATTGTGCACAAGGCATTGCTATTTTGCTGCGCTCCAATTAAAACTTATATCAAGAACTGATGATAGCAAGCAGTAAGTTTTTTTTGTATCTGCCACAAATTTGTGAAAAGCTCAACCACGTATTAAAAAGATATGCTTGATGCCCACGACTTCGGCGATTAGTACTCCAAAATGCGAAAAAAAAATATTTACCCCAAATTGAATATCTAGCTTAGCCTTTTAACCACGTCAATAGTGGCATACAATTGACATCTTAGAATGGGAAGTGCACCAAATATTTTCGAAATCAACAACTTCTTTTAGCATGTTAAGTTGCCGGAGGCTCTCTTTAATCCACAACTCATGGAATTTCTTGCTTACTTTTATCTGTGTGA